TAAAGCTCTCATCAAAAGGAATAAACAAGCTTAAAATGTTTGCCTTGGAGTGACAGCACAAAGCAGGCTGCAATCAAGCTTGTGTTGTTTCCAGAGACAAACACATAAACGATGAAAGGTTAACTTCTAACCTTTAGAAATATGATAAAGGGATATTTTGGTGAAAACATGCAAATCTATTCACCTAAGGAAAACTTTTTTGTAATACAGAAAAAAGCCCTATTCTCTGACCAATGTTAATTATTCCCCAAGAATAAAACATTTCTAGATATTCAGAGGATGTAAACAGGAGGCTTTGTCCCATTGTCGCAAGGGAAGCTCAAGATATATTGTTTTAAAATGACAATTACAGATCTCCATGCTAAGAGAGAGCCATTAACTCAAGGGTGTCAAACTGCCAGCCTATGGGCCGGATGTGTCACACGGAAGCCGTGCCCACCCCATTGCCGGCAATGGCAAAACCGGCCCGATACGTTGCACGACATCACATGACATCAAGAGTTTGACATGCCTGCATTAACTGAAATTATCTTGCATATTTTGTAAATAGAATATTTCCATGATTCTTTACATACATATATACATGCATACTTATATATACCCCTAAAACATTTGGAACATCTAAAAGTCCACTTTATCTAACAGATTAGCCTAAAAACTCAGAACATGACAAGGACTACTTCCAGAAAGTTCAATGGTCAATGGTCATTTTATATCTCTTGACTTTCAAGTTCTGACTTCCTCTTTTCATAATTCAATTTAAATATCTGCACATCAATGAGTAGAAGAATAGATGAAACAAAATCATTTCAAATCAATTATTAAATAAATGTTGCTCTTTATATTGCTACTTATTTCTTGAATGCAAAGAAATCCCTCTCTTTTTCTCTCAATACAAAAACACATCTTAATAAGAAAGGGGGGAGAAGAATAATTTGGGGATCTTTCATAATGTTCTTCCTGAATGCCGAATCTTAACAAACTAATTCATAATCTGAGGCACAAAAAGCCACACAGAGAACAGATCTTGAAGTCACTTAATGACTTTGAGGAAAAAGACTCAAGCTGTTGGTTTCCCTTTCTAATTTTCTGCTTCATCTAATATCATTCCATTTTGCTACATTAATTACTTCTATTAATTGAAATACTTTTCACATTCCAATAGACTGTAAACCAAAATGTCTACATTTCTTTTAGAAATGCTTATCCTTATTATGTATGTCAAGCAACAATATAAATTGGATTTACCAGATAAAAATATAGAATTGAATTTGCTATGCTCTTCAGTATCATTTATGAGCATTTGTGGGAAAAAGCAAGTTAACCCCACCCACTACCATAAACATCCCCCACTATAGTTACTTATAATCTAATATAAGAAAAAGATAAGAATAAAGAGTGTTGTCATTCTTCTAAACAAATAGAAATGATTTGGAATTGGTCTCATTGCAGAGAAAAACATTTATGGATTTAAACATTTGAACATCCCATGAAGTAATTAAATAGTGGAAGTGGGGTGGGAAAACCTGCTAATTTTAATCCAAAAATTGACAAACACACAGCATGTTTCATATCATGTTAGAAACTTCATTTACTGCTCAAATCAGGTCAGTATGAGAGCTTTTCTAAGTTAATACTCTAAGATATATTGTTTTCAATTTTCCTTTACCTCATTCAGATGTAGCTTTCTAACACATGGAAAGCGCATCTGGTTAGGAAAGACTGCAATATGGAATCTATCAATTTAATTTTTAAACAATGTAAAATGTGGTTTTTCAGTACATCAGTTATGTGATTTATCCTCTTTCTATAATTAAATAGGTCCAGTCAAATAATTCCTTGTGGTGCATCATGAACTCCAGCTGGTCCCCTGACATTATATATAATTTAGGAACAATTATCTGTTCTATATTTTTTGATAGCAGCACAACTAATAAAATGTATTTTTATTCAGGTTCATGTGCCCTGAATAAATATATATTTCAAATTCAATACACTTTTTTTTAAAAAAAAAAAAAAGTCAAAACTGAAAGAAAAATAAACAAGAACCTAATAACTTATTTTCTTCAAACTCTGTGAAATCTAGCTAGGAATGAATATTGATAATACTGGCAAGTCTCAGTCCTAACACACAAGGAAGAAATAGAGAATAAGATCACAATATAAGAACATGAAATGGGCTAATAAAATGTCAACAGAATCCATACATTCCTGAGGGAGTTCATTCTAGATGTGTGCATATGTATGTGTGAGTCTTTGTACTTTCAAGAGCTTTCAGATTTGAAGTTGCTTTTGGTGTCATCAGCTTTCTATCATTCTCTGTCAATTAGGAACATCTCTTGACCTCAGGATGGAAAAAACGGTAAAAAAATAGCAACAGTTATCTACTCCACAAAAGAGAGAAAAAAGGTTTAACTGAAGGTTACTGTGAAAACTGCTGCTGGTTTCATACTTGCCAAGCTATCATTTCTAATTGTACCTTTCAGCGCTATAAAAGGCCACTTAAAAAGAAACACTGCGCTTGAATTCTTCTGTAAATATAGAATTTTGTATGGTGTCCTACAATTAATAGGTCTTCAGTATTTGCCTCATAAAACTATTCACAGGGATTTGCTATTTCAGCTTGGCTATCTCAGGAACTAAAATAGTTAAGTAATAAAACTTTTTATTTAAAAAAAATTGCAGTCATTTAGTACCAGTTTTCTTGAAAGTGTTCTACAACATTATTTATAAGAAAAGTTGAAATGATACTTGGTCATTAATACAGAAATATAAATACATACTTATTGGAAGCCCACCTTAGATGTGCTGTTGATAGAATTCAGACTAGAGCTACTGATTGAGAACATTTCTGAAATGCCTGATTCTAAATGGAGCTCCAGCACCAGATGAGAGAAAGGATTAATTCTTATCCTTCATACTGTTTTCACAGTAAAAAAAAAAAAAAAAAAAATCCCTGAAACTGTCATGTGCCTTTTTGGAAGGCACAAAGATGAAATATCTTGGATATTGTTTCACTTATTTGAAATGATGGATTATAAAATCACATGAAAGCTAAACAAGTTCTAAATTCAAATTCAACATAAAATGTAACTTCAGGTTCACCACTAATTTGAACAATAATCTGTTCCTTTCTTCAACACTTATTTTGTCTGCAGAACCAAACACTTCTCAGTAAATCGGTCAATCTTGAGTTTGTTAAACTAATTTTCTTTAAAAATACTTTTTACTAAATAGGTTTTCTCATTGCTGGGGAGAGGAGCCATAGAGACTAAAGAACTTTTTGAAATCCAATTAATATTCCCTCCCAAACCTTTGGAAGACATAAAAATATTAGCCTTGTGAAATCTTGTTCATTCAGTCTTACAGTGGGCAAAATTTCAGGCCTCATAAGATTCTGCCCCTCAAACAGCTGTTTGTTGCCCCTTCCAAAAGGCACCACCTCTGCATGTTGTAACTTCAATTAGGAGGCAAGTAAAGGAAGCCTTTGTCATCAAAAGATAATGATTCTCCAAACTTGGCAACTGTAAGACTTATGGAGTTCAATTCCCAGAATTCTCCTGAATTCTAAATTCTTTTGGCTGTGGAATTCTGAGAGTTGAAGTCCACAAGTCTTGAAGTTGTCAGGTTTGAAGACCCCTGACCTAGATCGAGGCAAATAAAATGTTGCTGAATCCTGACAAGATGGCAGGCTTTCAATTATTTAGATCTAGGCATACAGTTTATTCGGTCCAGAACTGCTTTGATGCCAAAGTTTTGAACTATCATTCTGGTGGAATACAACTAGCACTTGTCTTTCATCAGTGTTTTAAAAGTATAAGGAAATCCATTTTAAAAAAATAGTTAGGATATTTTAACATCTTAATATATGTATTAAATATACAGTGTAATGTCTTATATATGCTTTGCTTGACATTCATAGAAGTTATGTATCTCTGACACCTATTTTAGCTCAATAGCAGTCTTGATTTTTCTCCACTGTCATATTCACTTTTTGTATGCTATAATTATATCATTCATCCCACATTTTATATGTCCTTTATATTCCTTGCTCCCATTCTAAAAATAATAAGCAATGAAAAGCATGTGTTATTGATTCAGTGCTTGGTACTCTCCTCTTCAAATGTATTCCTATGTCTGTATTTTAAAGCAATTTTTCTAAAAAGATGTAGTAGACATAAATATGCATTCCAATGACTGTCCTTGAGGATTATTTCCAATCTCACTAGAGAAATTGATAAAGAAACATGCCATATTACCCAGAAATTTCATTGAGTTCTTTTATGCAAAAATGTTTGCATATTGCATATGGGCATTAATATATGGCTGGAAAGAAAAAGTCCTTTTTTATTATTATATATTAAATATCTGTTTATCCATATTTCTCCTCGTCTCCCTCTTCCTCATCATCTTTATTCACTTCCTTCCTACCTACCCTCCTTCCTTCCTTTTATATTTTATATCTGCATTTAAATGAAGAAAGCAAATTCCACTTGATACTAAATTGGTTCCTTCTCATTTTACATAGCTGTGCTTTCCTATATATTTCATGGAACCATTACCAAGTTGTAAAATATTGCTGGTGTGCTTAAGGTGCCATGATTCTCAAGTCAGTATAGTTATTAGTTTTAAGTATACTTAAGCTTTTAGAAAGAAAATCTACTTGATTTAGAAAGTTAAGCAATCCAGATAGTTATAAAATAAATGCACACAATTTACAGAAAACAAAGTGTAAAGAAAGTTATGGATAAAGGGATAGATTCTTCAGTTTTCTTTTTCCCCATTGGAATTTTCCATTTCATTTATGAAAAAAATGTTTGTATTAACTTCTGATTAAAAAAGCATACAAACCAAATGAAATTCTTAAATCTTCTTATCCAAAACAATATGTAACATGCCCTTTCAACAAATATTTCTCATAGGAACTATAGGCTGCATTTACTGTATCCAGACACTCCTTCGAAGTTTGAAATCATTGACCTTTGATGCACATCACTCACCAACACAGACTTTTCTTCTAGTTTGGTTGTTTCTGTAAAGATATATTTAAATACAGAATAACAGAGTTAGAAGGAACCTTGGAGGTCTTCTAATAGTCTAACTTCCTGCTTGAGCAGGAGACCTTAAACCATTCTGGACAAATGCTGTCCAATCTGTTCTTATAAACTTCCAGTGATGGAGCACCCATAACTTCTGGGAGGAAGCCATTCCACTGATTGATTGTTCTGTCAGGAAATTTCTCTTAATTCTGGGTTGGAGTTCTCTTTGATAAATTTCCATCCATTATTTTTTGTCCTATCCTCAGTTGCTTTGGATAATAAGTCAGCCCCCTGTCCCTCTGAGTGCCCCCAATGAACCAGTGATAGGGATAATTCTCTCCCTCACTTCATCCATAACCAAGCATTAATCATGATTCAATGGCTACTCTTTATATAACTTCAAATCAATCTGATCCCATCCCTGATTATTAATAACTCTGTGTAAATGGAAATAAGGAATTAAGGAATATCAAGATATAAGGCCAATAATACTTTGGCCTCTATATCTTGATATTTCTGTCTCTTGAATGGGAGAAACAGACAGGAATCCTTGCCATTGAGTCTTTGCATGATAATAACCAACACAACTGAACCTTCTATTTCTGATCAAATGTTCAGATGTTCACCTGCAATAATCAGTGGAGTATAAAACAATAATAATTAGTAAATGAATATTGATGTAACTCCTCTTCCCTTTTCTCTTGGTTGTGACTTTCCTTGCAGATTGCTTTAAAGAAAAATATTTCCATCAAAATTAAGTGAGTGTTAAATGATAGAAAGTAATGTTTATGCTCATAATTTCCTAACATTTTCTGACTTTTTTCCATTTTTTAATAAATATAAATGTTAACTGCTGCAAGTTAAATGTTATTGTAAGACATTACTAACCAGAAAACATGGCCTCAAATCCAAATCTCAGGGCAGATGGTTTTTTCCTAAATAGACATTTATTAGAAAATGTAATTATGACTTGTTCAGGAAATAAGGTTTGTTTGCCTTGTAAAGTAATTTGTTTTCCATTTTCACTATTCAATGTGGGTTTTTATGCCACTATAATGTAGACAGGGAAGAAGCATAAGCTTTATCTAACTGATTTTATTCCCAGAACAAATTAGGATTGTCAAACCAGCTCTGCAAGATTTTTTCAGCAGGATATTGAGGTAAGGCAGATATCAGGTTTACACAAAATAGGATGCAACATAAACACTTGTCATAAAAAAGACAAAATTCTCTTTGTATGGAAATATTCTTGCATAAATATTGCCTAGAAAATTGATATCAATTCAGTACTGCTGCTGCTATGCATATGTACATATAATCAGAATAGAGCTTAAAGGGACCTTGGAGGTCTTCTAGTCCAACCCCCAGCTCAAGCAGGAGATCCTATACAATTTCAGACAATTTGTCCAGTCTTTTCTTAAAAGCACCTGAAGGCAAGCTGCTCCACTGGTCAATTGTTCTCAGTCTTAGGAAGTTTCTCCTTAATTCCAGGTTGCTTCTCTCCTTGATTAGTTTCCATCCATTATTTCTTGTCTTGCCTTCTGGCCTTTGGAAAATAAGTTGACCCCCTCTTCTTTGTGGCTGCCCCTCAAATACTGGAATACTGCTATCATGTCACCCTTAGTCCTTCTTTTTTCTAGACTGGCCATACCCAACTCTTGCAACCGTTCTTCATATGTTTTTGTCTCCAGGCCCTTAATCATCTTAGTTGCTCTTCTTTGCACTTGTTCCAAAGTCTTAACATCTTTTTTGTGTTGTAGTGACCAAAACTGGATGCAGTATTCCAGGTGTAGCCTTACTAAGGCTTTATAAAGCAGTACTAATACTTCATGTGATTTTGATTCTCTGTTTATACAACCAAGGATTATATTAGCTTTTTTGGTGGCTGCTGCACACTGCTGGATCATATTTAAGTGATCATCCACTAGACTCCAAGGTCCTTTATATACATATACAGTATATATATATTGAGCAAAAAAGAAGGTAGGGAACTTTTCTGGTTTTTTGGCTGCCTTGAGATGATGTTTGGATTGGCTGCTACAAATTATTACTATAACTTTTCCATTATGTCATCTTTCACTGTGGCCTTTCTTGCAATATTCTCAGAGAATTCTTTCCTCATCCAGTTACAGTATTCTGCTCATTGTACAGTCTGATATCTTCTCTAGAAATTATGAAGGCTTATCCTCAAGCTGGCCAGCACTTGCTCACATAGCTGTTAACATTCAAGATTATTACTTTCTCACTAATCCTTGTCTGTTCATGGTTTCAACCTCTCACAAAAATGCATTTCTACATATCAAGACCTCTTATTGTGATGAGCATAAAGAGAGAAAAAGGTCCATAAATTGTTCTGCAATTAACAACAGAAGTGTTAGAGGCAGTTGCTTCTAACAGGCTTCCCAAACTTGTGGTCATTGCATAACACTATTTAAATAAAGTCACTGTACCTTCTTTAACAACCAAAGATTAAACGTAATTGGGCTGAACTGGAAATAACTGTAAACAAACAATTACTTTACCAATAAAAATGTGTATAATAGATAATGTCAGTCTTAGGCATTATAGATAAGGTTGTGTATGCCACTACTGCCATAAAAAAGGCTTATTTTCAGGGGTTTAGACAAGTCATAAAAGTATCCTGGCAATGAAAATTGCTAATGGTTCTTGTTCTCAAAAGTCATGTTTTTTGCTAGTCATGAAAGTTGTGGTCCAACAATTTCCCCTCTGTGGGTTGTTTAAAGAATAAAGATAGAATAGTAATGATAAGTGGTGCCTTCTTCTGTTTCACAAATCCAAAGTTTTTTAAAATGCCTAAGGATAACTACACATTGTATGGGTTGATGTACTCCACTTAAGTGGTGTCCCAAAATGGCTCAGAACAGTTAAAAATATCTGTACTTAGCTAGGCACTTGATTTTTGTCCCTGTTGAAAGAAGATTCAAGATGTTTTAATTGGGACTCAATCATCCATAAGTTAATACAGTCCTGTTATTTCTGTAATATAACACTAATGAAATATTTAGTGTTTCCCTTTAAAGTTGTATTGTGACCAAGGCTCAAATATCAAGCAGGTTGAATCCCATTATTCTGCTAATGCAATGTTGAGTCATTTTAATTTTAAGGCATAAATAGTTTTTCTTTTAAATCTGTTAATTAAAAGTGCTTTTCTCAGCAATTTAACCAATGACTGTGATTTACATGAGTCCTGGTTCTGACAACGAAGAAAAGTATATATTAAAACATGAACTGAATTCATGCAATGAATACATTGCATTTATTCTTCATGCAATGAAAAAATGTAAAATATTTGAAATTAGGGAAAATAAAATATTCACTCTGCAAATTGATTGCAGGGTATGTAGAGGATAAAAACATAAGTTAAAAAATGTAAGACTTTATATGTAGCTTTTGGGTGTCCTTTTGTGTTTACTTTGCAATTTTTTAATACATCATATTTTCTTTAATTATTTGGAATTATTTATAATTATTTATTAAATTACAATCATGTGATTGTCACATTATTCAATCACATTGCTTAGTGATGGAATTCTCTGAGAATATTGCAAGGAATTACCCTTCAATTACCATTGTTAACTGAGGACTACCTCGGTTGAACATAAATACTAGATTTAAGGAAAGTCAATTTCAACAAGCTGAGAGAATTATTAGGTAAGATATCAAAGAGAAAAATCTTTAAACCAAATGATATACAGGGTAGATTGGGAATTATTTAAAAATAAGATAGTCGGAGTACAAATACACCTTGTGAATTGAGAACAAAAAATATAGTACTAAGTAACATAGGAAGTTGTTATGGATATATGGGAACCTTCGTCCGAGATTAGTATTAAAAGAGAAATATACAGGAAATAGATGTTTGGAACCACCAAACAAGAGATGTACCACAAGTAGCTAATTATCTTCATAAGCATTAAGGCAGGAGGAAAAAAGAGAGTGCTATGAGGATCATATATCTGAATCAAAAGAGTCAAAAAGAAGATATATGTAATATATTGCACTTATAGAGCACATTTCATCTTCAGTATGTTCTGCAAATATATGATCCTCATAGCATTCTCATGAGACAGATAAGAAATTTATATTCATTAAAAAGAAAGAGAAAAGAAAACCACTGGTTAAAAAGAAATATCAGGTTTGGCAGGGACTAGGACATCTTCCTTTCTTTAGAGTCACATCATTCAGCAGCCACAATCATAATAGGTACATATTATATATGAATCCTGAACCATGTAAAATTTAGAAACATTTCTTGTTCTTATATAAATGATTAAAAGGACTATGAAATCAAGCAAAGGAAATATATTTATATTATACATGAGACTATGAGCTCTTCTATAGAACAGCTTAATCTACTTGTCTTCCATACAAAATTGCATGGAAATGAAGCTTATGTAAGAAAATGTAGTCCAGATTTCATTCTTTTCTTCAGCTTTGACAACAATGTTGGCCATTGTATTGTCCATGGCAATTACTAATTACCTGATTGCTGTAATTCGCTGCTTTGTTATCCTTACCAGAAAGCAAACAGCAATCACATCATCTTCTATGCTGAACCTTTAATGACAAGTGATTTCTACTAGACAATATTTTCTAAGAACCACTTCCTCATGTGACACCTCATAATGATTCAGGGAGGTCCTTACAGATCCTGATGGCCACTCTTTTTATTAAATGTACTCAATCGTTCAGTTCACTGAATGACTTTGGGCCAGAAACTCCACACTACCACCTTACCTTATCCTATATGACACAATAGTTGTTCTGGGAAGAAAATAAGGGAAGACTAGTTGGAGAAAAAAAATATGGAATTAAAATAAATTCCACCAAATTGATTATTCCACTCTCCTGTCCTCCCCCAACAAATAGCACACTATCAATTGTTCATCAGCTACCATCTCCGCTAGCGGTGGGTTTTTATTTTTGTTTTTCTTAAAGCAGCTTTCCAAAACTGTATGCAAAACAATGGAAATG